AAAAAAAAAAAAAAAAAAAAAAGCATCAGTATACTGTGGAAAAACAACATTTTCCACAGCGTGTATATTTTTGCAGATGTGTCCAACAGCACCATCTACAAAAGGTTCACTGACCTGTGACACAACAGTCGACTGGTCGTTGTTTATTTTCTGCCCGACAGCAGTAGTGTTTGATGCGATAAGAGTAGCATCATACCTTTTAGTTTATTAAATGTATCCATAAGATATCCCACGAGTATTAGGGAAGTATAAAGTCGCCATCGGCAGAGAGCATTTACTGACAGAAGGCAAATTGAAAGCGGAGGTCGCCTGGTATCCGCAATTCGCTATGAAGGTCGTCACTAGGCCCGCAACCAAGTTCCTACAGGTATAGCTGTTCCACTGTAAATTGGGGGGTTGTTCGGTTCTCATTCATACATTCACACATACTACACCATTTATCCTTATATATAAATTTTAGACTAGGGACAAAAACTACAGATTTTTTCATATCTTCAGGGTGTTTTCTTTCACCCCGCCTAGTTGCTGGCAACCTCAAAACCAGCAGAGACATGACCTAACTGCTTTGGGGTCATCGATCCAACAAACAACTACACTTTGCACCAAAATGCAAAGATTCATCTGCTCCCCGAGAAGCTAAGATGTAGTCATTCGGACCACGTCAGTCAGCCTACATAAAGTTACTACTACTATTACACATGAAATTACTACTACTACTACTACATAAAATAACACAAACATAATTACGTGAAAACATACACTACATGACAACATAACACTACCTAAAGGTAGATCTTGGTTCTACACCTCGTTCTAGAAACGATAAAAATTCACAGTCAATTGACAAATGCCAGGTGACTGCGAATATTTATATTTATAGTCCAATTTGTAGCTCTTTAACAAAACGACATTTAAAATGAAATCTCGACGGTCGCTAAACGTAAGGTAATGGACAGAAGAAAGCTGAGAAAGCAATGGCAAATAAATCGGTTCCCCGAACTAAAAAAGGACTTAAACAAACTAACCAAAGAACTTAAAAATATGCTACTTTATGAGAAAAATAAAAACCTACAATAACACATAATAAACTTGACAGCTGACAAAGTCACAAACTATTCTTTATGGAAAGTAACTACAAATATTAACAACTCTGTAATGCATCAACCACCACTGAAGAAAGCAAATGGAACTTGGTCTACAACCAACACCGAAAAAGCTAAACTTTTTGCCACCTACTTTGAAGCTACGTTCAGTGGCAACGTAGCAAGATGGCAACGAAGCACAGAGCAACTCTACTCGAAATGTCTCAATAAAGAAAGTCTCAATAACAGAGATTAAAAATAGTATTAAAAATAAAATTAAAGCAAGAAAATCACCGGGATATGATAGTATTACAGAAACGATTTTGACTGAGCTGCCTCAACAAACACTTGTGTATATGAGAAATGTGTTCAATCGCGCTCTGCACTTTAAGCATTTCCCAAAAGTATGAAAAGTAACAGAAGTAATAACTATACCCAAACCAAATAAAGATATAACTGTAACAAAATCATACAGACCAATTAGCCTACTATCAGTTATGTCAAAATTGAATTGTTTGAAAAAATAATTTTATCAAGACTAGAACCGATTCTCTTCAAAGAAAAACTTATACCTGATCATCGATTCGGCTTTCGGTAAAAGTATTCGACTATATAACAAGTTCACAGAGTTGTTAATAAAATAACAAGTGATATTGACTCAAAACAATTTTCCTCGGCGGTATATCTTGTAACGACCTTTTTCTGGCCCTATCTACAGCTGGGGTATACTCAGCGAGTATACCAGGGTTCGTTATAAGAAATTTATAAATGTGAAATAATAGAGACACTTCTGTTTAAAGCAACGTTTATTATTTAACCAAAAAAAATATGAATTAAGTTGTGGAAAGTAATAGACAGCGATGTTGAAAATGTTGTCAATGATGTGGAATGTTGTTAATGTTGTAACAATGTTGTAACGATGTTGTAAACTGTGTAGAATGTTGTATGATGTTGATGTCAGTGGTGCGCAAGTTGCTATCATTAGAATCGTTGAAATCTGTAACAGGAGAAATTTCAAATAGCTAAACCTAAAGAAACTCTAATAAAATATAAATCAATACCTTTGTCAGCAAAAACCAGACAAGAGTCCCTTCCTGCTATTACGCCTGGCCACGTCCGTCAGCAATTGCCAAACGCTCGTTGTCCCACACGCCTTCTGACAGTGTTTGTGACTCGTCGTCCATTCCTCCATCAGCTATGGCCAAAAAAAAAAAACTGGATGACTAGTTAAACTACCCAACGCCAGCATAAGCCAAACAGCAGGTAACTCAACTGGTTAAACTACCCTACGCCAGCATAAGCCAAGCAGAAGGTAATTCAACCACCATCACTTCGCCCAAACCAGTCCATCCATTCACATGGTGATCGTCAGCAATGGCCAAACGAATCAACATGTGCCTGGACCAACTAGTCCGAGCTCCCACTATCGTCCCTAACAAAATAGTTCTTACTTGTAACAGGAGAAATTCCAAATAGAACGATTTGGCAATTTCGCAGCCCTTTTATTTGAAATTCCCTCCATTACAGGCAAAAACAAAAATTATCTTCAAGTAAACAAGGTCCCGTAAATTTGTCAAAACAAATTTCTTATTGTTGTACGCATTGCAATCAAATTCAATAAAAATAACTGCATCATATGAAAAATGCGTGCACGATATTTTCTTAAATTTGTTTATGCAGACAAACAAGTGAATTAGTTATAACAAATTTAACTAACTTTTATTAGCGGCAAAAAATTAATCAAAACATATTTTACTTTACAGGGTCATTCGTTTATACAAAATGTTTGTCTCTAATATGAAATTTACAGGGTCATTTGTTTATAATAAAAATGGATGTTACTGTAGGAAAATTTTATTGAATTTAGAAACATGTTTTTTTTACTAAGTGGATTTAAAACTCATATTTGACTATTCATTTGATTTGTGGGGTTAAATTTTAGAATAAAATTTGGGCCTTACAATCTTGATGTCGGCTTTCGACAGCATTTGGCATGAAAGTCTCCTAACTAAACTATCGCAACTTCATCCGGCACACTTTTACCTCATACTTAAGAGCTATCTACAAAATAGATACTTTTATGTGAAGTACAAAGACTCAATCTCCGAACTTAAACAAATGAAAGCTGGTGCGCCTCAAGGAAGCTTACTGGGTCCATTACTCTACCTGCAATACACTGCTGATATCCCGATACCTTCTGATCCTCAAAGTTTGATAGCAACTTTTGCAGACGATACAGCCCTAATTGCAGCTAATAAAAATTTTAACATATCCACAGACAATTTGCAGAATTACCTAAACGCAACGCTCAAATGGGGAGTTCAAAGAAATACAAGCAAAACAGTTCATGTTATCTACACGAATAAAAAATATGACCTAAAACGTATAAGAATTAACAATGACAATGTCTTCACACACACAAAGGAGCTTCGGATTGTCTTTTTCACTATTGGCGTGTTGAAGCCATTGTTTTTGTTTGTGGTTGCATCTTCAGTTCTGTTTGCAGTTATGAAGTTAGTATCACAGTTTTCCGAATTCTGAATAAGTTTTGATGGTGTATTATGTTATGTTGTTGATGGTTTGGTTGTTGTAAATTTATATGGTACTCCTGCTGCATTTGTTGTTTCTCTATTTGCTGGTTCTGTTGTGGTTGTTTGTATCTTGCAGTTCTAGCTGTTGATTTGATTGTTGTAGTGTTGTTTGATTTTTATTATTGGATGCTTTTGAGCATAGGACAGTTTGTTGATGTGTTTTGAGCTGTTGTTGTTGTTCTTGTTGTGATTGTTGCTCGTGATTTGATTCGCCTCCACCTTATGGTGGAGTTTTATGAACCGGCATTACGTTAAATTAAACGATTACCGAAATAGGATATGAAATTGGAGTTTTCTATTTGGTCTCGTATTATAAAACTTTTAATATAATGATTTGTGTACACACTAATAAAGGAAGAGGTTATATATGCTGTCTCAGTTAGCTGGATATTTTAATTTTGTTTAGTTACTGCAGGACTATTAAAAATTTTAAATTTGAGATTTATTTATTCAATAAATATACTTCTGAGAATACTAACGTCCTAAAAAGTTTCATTTTTATGTAGAATTTAATGATAAACTCAATTCAGAAATAAAAAATAAAAATTTTTGTATCGTTTTCCTTCGAAAATTGATTTTATGGTACTATGGTACGTATGAGTAACGTGAAGGACACCTGATTAATTAATTTTTTTAATTAATTCTAAAAGGAATATAACAGTGGAAATATTTATTTTTGAAGTAGAATTTATATATTAATTTGAATCAAAAGTAAAAAAGAAAAATTTGTGTGACATATTCCTTTTTTTTTTACTGAGAAATCGTGTGTATGTGTTTGGTGTGATATATGTATGTATGTCGTGTGTATGTGTTTGGGATAAATAAATTTTTAAAAGTACTTCTAATTACAATATCGTCCTGAAATTTTTGAGTTTTATGTAGAATTTTATTACTAATCGAAATCAAAAATATTATATTATAATATATGTATGTAGTATATTCTTTGAAAATTCATTCAATGAAAATGTAGTACGTATGTGCTTGATGTGTTTTGCGGGAGAAAAAAAAATATTAAAAAATTTAAAAAGGAGTTGGTATCTCGAAAATTTTAATTTTGCAGTAAAATTTAAAACTAAATCTAAATAAAATATAAAAAATAGAATCTCTGGGGATATATTTTAAGAAAAATTGTTTTTTGAAATTTAATAGTTAATATTAGTACTTAAATATAAACAATTTAATTGTTTAAACAATTTTATAAAAGCTCAATCAATTATCTTTGAAACGCTGTAAATTTCAAGTTTTTACCTTTTATAGAACTTGAGATATATTTGAAAATGTGTCTACTATCCCAATTCTCAAAACCCCATGGGTCCATATCTCCTAGGAAAAAAATCACAAAATTTTTTCCCGAGATACGGGTCTTCTTATTTTATGAAAGGAGCTCATAAAAAAAATTTCAGCCAAATCGGAGATTAAGAGGTCAAAAAGGTGTCCGAGTTGTAAAAAAATGACCCATATTTGATATAATTATAAAATTTAATATATTATTTATTCATAAATATTTATTTTTAATTATATAAAATCTAATTATATGAAAAATATAAGTATATATTTTGGGTTGTTTTTATTATTAATTTATAAATTATTAATGTTATTATTAGCTATTAGTTAAAATAAAACTTACTGAAAATTTGAACTAAACATCGCTTTATTTCTTTTCTATTTGGATTATGGTTATTTAGTATTCAAACTTGTTTTGAAGCCCTCTGTTGTCTTCCCAGAACCGACATACGGATTTCATTCTTATCTAATATAGCAACTCAGTAAAATTTTATTCTTTATTTAATAATTTACCAAGGTCCACTTCCTTCTTTTTCTAGTAATCATTGAAGAAAGAACTATCATTTGTTGATCTTGAATTATTTGTAATTTTTTTAAAAGTATTGTATGTTCTTTTGTATATGCAGCAACTGCCGCTTTTATATTGTGAACAACATTACAAACATTATATATTAAATTATTTAAATTTTCTGCGTTTTCTTCCATGCTGATTTATTTTCTTCTAACAATGCCACATTTAATATAATCTGTTTACAATTAAAATATAAACACAGAAAAGCTCTAAAACTAGAACTTTTTTACACATAATAGTTTTTTCCCATTCCTTAAATAACTCATGATAATGGAAACTCAAAAAGCTCAATGTTACTATATGACTTACTAAGTACGTAGTGGAAACGTGATATTACTTTGTGTTATTGTTTGTAGTTATGGTATATATGTTTTTTTTTAATTGTTGATCGTTTTAATGTAACTACTAAAATATACTTCTGTTTTCCTCTATAATTAATTCTTAGTTTTGTATTTCATTAAATTCTGATAATTATTTACTAAATTAGAACAGAATGGATAAAGCGCTTAGGAGTAGTTGGGCAAACTAAAAATAAGTTTGCCTGTAACAATCATTTTTCTGCACGTATTTCGAAATGCGCAATCTCAGACGTTAATTTAGATTTAAGTTATATGAGTAATTTAAATAAAAATGAAATTGACAACGAAAGTAATGTGGAAAATGAAAAGCAAAATCACCTCTCTAGTATAGGAGTTAGAAAAACCTATGATAGGAATAAAATTTCTGTTTGTGGAAAAGAGGTCCAAACAGACAATAGTCTTTCTGAAGCAACTCTCAGAAAAAGAATAACTTACTTATTCAGAAATTTTAATAAAATTAAAAAATTTAGAGAAGGTAGTTGAAGAAAAAAATGAAATTATTAAATGTAAAGAAGTAGAAATTAGGGAAAAAATGAAAGTTTGGAAAAACTTAAACAAGAGAACAAAGAGTTGCTTTCAAAATGTAATACTATTGAAAGTGTTGCAAGGAATTTAGGTGAGGGTTTGATAGATGAGCTTTGTAGCAAGCTAAATATGCAGGTATATGTAAGAAATTGTTTTCGCCATTGTTTTGCTGCATGCATTGTAGTATTAAAGCTTTGGAGTTACGAAGCTGTGGCTTTTCACACGAACAAAGATTCGTGTCTGTATCCTACGATGGAATGTCTTTGAAAGGCCACCTTCAGTATGACAGGCCTAATGACAAAATAGTTGAGCTTGAAGATTTTGGTGGTAAAGATATTACTTGCAAAATTTCAAGTTCTGGTACAAGGAATCGCAGGAGTAAAATTGTCTCAGTTTCTTACATACTTTTTTGTAAATGGAAGTTGCAAGGGTGAAGTTCTAAAATCGTATGTTATTGAAGTGATTCAACAACTTCAAGGCAGTAATCTATAGCTATACCATTTTGTTTGCGATCGGTTTAGAAACAATATTAAATTAGCTAAGTTATTAAAAGTAGATGTGCATCATCCTTTTTTTAAAGTCAATGATGAAAAGATATTCTTTTTTTATGATGCATCCCATTTGATGAAAAGTACTATGAATTGTTTAGAAAATAGCAGTAATAATGTAATATTTAGTAATTGTAAAGTAAGTTGGGAAGATAATGTTCATTTTTTTAATATTGATTCAAAATCAACTATTCGATGTGCGCCTCACTTGACAAATGCACATATTAGGCCCAATTCTTTTCAAAAAATGCGTGTCAGATTTGCTTCTCAAGTATTTAGCAACACAGTTGCATCAGGAATGAGAGCATTGTGTAAAT